AACTACAGAGATCTTTAAAAAAAAAAAAAAAAAAAAAAACAAAAAATTAATTAATTCTTCATATTAACTAAACCATTAAAGCCTATTTAACAAAATTTAAAATTTAATATATATAATTTTATGTTAACCTTTCATAGTGATTTTTAATTTTAAATTAAAAATACAATCCAATTATCATAATCAAAATTTCAAAATCAAGATTAATAAAAAAATAATTGAAAATTTTTGAAACTGAATGATAAAATTTTTTATTCAAACCTAAAAATATCAAAAAAGTATCAACTCAAATAAATAGGCTACTATTTTATTTCTATTCCATAATTCTTTTTAAATTACCAATATGTAAAATATTAACAGAATTTTAATAATTTTATATTTACAATTTTGTGCTCTTCACTAAAATCAATAAAATTAATAAATTGAAAAATTAAATAACAGGTATACCTCAAGTTACGTTGTTCTCGATTATATGTTGTTTGTCAAAAAATATACGGAAAAATAAAAATCAAGTTTTAGTCATTTTATTCTACTTTACATCCATCTGCCACAAATATTGGAGTCGTAATATCACAAGAAAAGCGTTATAGCACATAAAATCATATTAAAATATGTACATTTACAGTAAATGTTGGTAATATAATCATCATAAATCCTAGAGAATGAAACATGAAAACATCTGTGTTTCTGTGTTGTCGTCTTATTTAGCAGTCTTTAAGTGCTCAATATTGGTGTTTTCCACGGTAGCTCCAATATCTACCATTTGGCATCGTTGTCAGTGCCACTCGATATTCATAAATTTAATATAAATTAGTTTATTTTCTACTGTTGCAAGATAATTTTAATATCTGTATTTGTTATTTAACCTTACAAAATCATTTTATTTTATAATGTCTTAGAGCAAACCACATTCACAAATAAAGAGTCTGCAATGTACTGTTAACATTGCCAAATTGTAAACCTGTACATTTACAAGTATGTACTGTACGTACATGAATTCGTAAATTTAGATTACTTTTTTCTGTACTATATTAAAAACTAAAATTTATTTGTTTGTAAGCTTAAAATAGATTCTTATTAACCACATATTATTAAAAATGCATTTATAAATAAAATACAGAACTGGGAATGGTTATTTGNCAAACTAGATATAAAAAATACATTGAAAACTTTTGTTTTCCAAAACGGATAAAGGATACAGATAAATAGGTAAATATCTTGAGTACTGTGTAAATTGTACTCAATAAAACAAATTTTATGTATTGTTTTATTATAATCACAAGTATATCATTCTGCATTACATTAATTATAGTTCATAATAAATTTATCAGAATTTTATTTACATGCATTGTACAAGTTTCTCTGTATGCATAAAAAAATGTAAAATATTAATCATAAAATTATTTTAAAGCTTTTTTTTTATTTAAAAAGTTTTTGATAATAGACAAATTTAAAACTTCTAGTCATTAAAGCTGATACTTCCTAATTAAACAAATTTTATTGTTATATAAAAAATATTAATATAAATGCATACAGAGAGATTCTGACTGGACCTCAATATTTTAGTGTACAAGATGAAAATTTCATATTTAAAAATCCAGAAAAAAATTTGTAACATTTAAGCCAAAATAAAAAAAATATTGTTGAAAATAAAACTTCAATTTCTTCTATAATTTCAGAAAATTATAGAATAATAACAGTAATAATTCTTTCAATAGATTTTGCATGTTTCCTTTAAAAAATCCTTAATACATTTGAATTATTTTGTTAATAAAAGTAAACTATACCTATAAATGAAAAATGCTGTTTAGTAGCTAAAATATTCATCAGAATGAAGAAGTTTTGTAATTTTTTTTTATAATTTAGTAATTTAAATGCTTCAGCTTACGATTGAGTTATAAAAGGTATGACAAATCTACAATTTCAATATTTTATTAAATTAGCAATGACATTTGATGAGACTATTTAATAATACATAAAACCACATTAATGAAACTCAAGCAAATTTGCTAAATAATCAACTTAAACAGATTATTTCAAAACTATTAGTATTTGTAATAAAAAATATTCTGAAAAAAAATAAAATAAAAAAAAATAAAAAAAATTTAAATGTAAATGTTCTAATTTGTTAATTTCTTTGTAATACAGTATCATAAAATATTAAACTTCAATTATAATTGTTTGCAAAACATCAAGAAATTTAAAATTTTATTTTCAGTTATTCTAAAAATTAAATCTGAGAAATAATGATTTTAAATAGCTGAAAGGCTATATCTTTGCAATCCACAAAAATTAAATGTATGTAGATGGACATTAATGAAGATTAATTCATGATAATTTTTAAGTACATAAAATTAAATTAAATTAACTGATCATGAGACACTCAAATCTTGAATATGAATTACCATATTTAATCAAATGTAAATGTAAGAAAACATAGGTTTTAGTATCTCTGAAAATGGATGCATCTTAGACTCAATGTAATTTGTCATAATTAACAACCATTAGTACCATGCATCTTATTTATCTATCATTAATTCTATTACATCATTATAATGATTTTATTAGGCCAATATCTGTAATTTAATGTAATTTAAGAAGTCAATTTAGCTCAATCTTGTTAGTCTATTACAGTAATATTGTAAGAACTTGAATGTAGATTGCAGAAAAGTTGTGCAGTACTTTTTCATGGAATGTTGCATTTCCAATATTTTAAATAGCACTGAGTAGGAGATTGCATGTGAGACAAAGTAAACATCAATCCAGAGTAGTTTTAGTTTACTAAAACTATACTGTTTAGTAAACTATAACTACACGTGTATAACTACTAAAACTAATAATCAGGAATGCAACTGAAACATGTATTGAATCAGAAGATCCTATCATAGAAGGTGAAAGAAGTTTCCAATTTCAATACCACTTATAACAGTTATATATAACTACAATAAATACTGAACATTTCTGTTAACATACACTTGTCTCAAATTGTTTTATTTTAAAAAAAAATCAATAGATCAGCATGTAGAAATTAAGGTGGATCTTAGATTCAATAAGTATTTAAATAACAAAATCAAAAATTTTAAAAATAATGAAGAAAATTATTTCTAAAGCTGGAAATATTACAAAAAAATTGAACTCGCATTAACCTTGCACACTTTTTAACATCTAAAATGTAAACATTTTTACTGCTGAGAAACTGTGCAAGGTTAATGCAAGTTCAGGTTTTTTTTTGTAATAAAGAAAATAAAATGACTGATAATATAATCACTTAAATCTAAACTGTTAAAATTTTGGGCAATGCTTAAACTAATTTTTAATCAATTAAATTACATAATTTGACATAAACCACAAATATAACCTGAAAATCTGGCAGTTTAAATTTACAACTGATTAATCAAAGTTATTACTCAATATAATCATCATCTGTTATTATTCAATAAAATCACTTTCATTCATTTATAGTATTAATCTCTGATTTTATTTTTTAAAAAAACAATCAAATGATAATGAATAAAAGCAATTAAATTACAATGGTAAGTATATCATAATGAGTACAACAATAAAGAAATAAGTGAGAGTAGATAATTTTATTTTATAAATTATGTTTTAGAAATAGTCATATCAATAAAATATGCTATTAATCAATACACTATCTTTAAGCTAAGATTTAAGCACCATTAAGCAAAATATTAAAAAAGATTTAAAAATTCACATTTATTATATTTGTTTTTATTAAATGAAAATAATTCAATTATAACAACAAATTATAATTAAATTCAGATATGGTATTAAGAATGATACTATACCTTACTAGGAAATGTTTCATAGTTAAGTAGAGCTGAAAAATTCTGTATAATGTTAAATTACTAAAAATTAATGTCAATTTTATAAATTATTACTAACAAATTATACTTGATTCATTAATGAAATTAACTATTGTAATTATAAATGTAACATAATATATCTAAAAATAATAATAATAATAATAATCTAATTTAATTCCAAATTATACCAGCTAACTTAACAAAATTCTATTATTATTTAATCAACAAATAAGAAACAATTTAAAACTTTTTATATATTAAAATATTTCAAATTATTTTTAACATTATTGTTTTTTGTTTTAAAGTCTAAAATGCAATCTATGAAAACTAAATCACAAATTATGTGTAAGCAACTATATTTGGCATAATAAGAAAAAACTAATGGTTTTAAAAATTAATTATATAATTATCTCAAAAATTAATAATTTTATTAATTAAACTAAGTTAAACATAAAAGAAAATAAATCTTATATTTTTCTGGATTTTTAAAATACTTTATAATCATCTCTTTGTGTTACAGTTATTAAAGAAACTCAATAATTTAACTATGGATGCATATTTCTAACATTTTATAGAAAATCTTTAAAAAAATTTTCTAATTTTTATCTTCATATAACAAACACACAAAAAATGCTGTTAAAATACAAATCAATCAGACATGAATTCAGTACATAAAGAGAGGAGGCAAATAGTTGCTTCTGCATATTTCACATAAGAATTTGAATTCATATTGATGTGCAATTATATTTTCCATCATTCCAATGAATCATTTCATATTTCTAACAGATGCTAGCTTCATTTTTAATTATTATTTTCATCTTAATAAATATTAGAACGTCTTGATACAATTTATAATTTTGCACAACATTGTTTTAACTGCAACAAACATCAATAGAAATACAGATATGATCTGTAGTATCATTCTAAATTGGCACACTTTTTCAACAAATAAACAAGTTGGAAGTATGAACATTCGTGTTCATAACTGTGATGATTGAAAAGAGCCATCACAGAATATTGGTCATTTATGAACTGAAATATGTTCATATTCGAATATTCATATTGATAATATATACACACACACACATTATATATATATATATATATATGAAAATTAAAATTTAATGACATAATGATCAATTACTTTCAACAATTTTATATTTTTATTTTTTTAGAATCATACAGTTAAGATCTCAGCATTGTATTTGTTCTTTAGTTAAACTTTAATTTCAACTATATGAAATTATTTTATGTAAAAATTTCTCTTTTGTAAAAAGTACTTCCCCTCCATTTTTTTTACCTGAGTATTACTTACAAATATGTATATATTTTTTTTAATTGACAAATTACTATACATTCTGTAATAATTAAAAACAAATCACTTTCCTTTGTACTTTGTTGTTGCAGTTAAAATCCATTTTGTTCATTAAATCAAAAATGAAGCAAATATTGGTATTTAAAATTTTTCTGAAATATTAGTTGTAAAAATTACTAATAATATGCTTATGCACAAAAATATATACATAGTGGACAGCCATTTTCCATATACAAGTTAATATTCAGGCATAGAAACAAAATCAAAAAACAAATACATTGGTCTCAACAATTTCTTTTAAAAATTGCCAATTATGATATAAGAATATTCTGACTTGCAATTATCTTTCAAAAAGCATTACAATAAGGAACAATGGCACTATTATGAATAGTCTATTCATCCCATAAACATAGCTGCTTTTGTTGGACATGGTAGTTAAAAGCACGGCACTTGCGGCACGTTTTAATGCCACAACGATAACTCATAATTTTACCACTAGAGTCTTTGCCACGACAATATTTAAGACCACATGGATACCACCCAACACATGCTTCTAAGTGACACTGACATGGCTGCCATAAATTACTAGTGGAGTTACACCGGACGGGCTTTGGTGGGGGAAACCTCTTCACAGAAGACGTCAGGGATACTATATCTCTGCTCAAGGCTGTAGGATAAAGAAATTTATTTAAAAAAAAAAACAATATTAATAATTGATACAATCATATTATCTTAAAACTGACCTTTCTTAAAGTTGCATTATATAATACTAAATGTAACAAGCATAAATTATCTCTCTAATCTAATCATGCACACGATCAAATCAAAATAGCTAAAATTTCTATTTCATGTACAGTCCACTCCTCTTAAAACAAACACCAATAAAGTGAATTCTCACATTACAGAGAATTTTTCCATTGCATTGGCAAAATGCCAATATCAATGTTAATTTTCATGCACTAAAGTGAACAAAAATTTTACCAGAATTTGTTAAACCAAACTGTAAATTTTCTTCATAACCTACAAAATAACCCTATTTCCAATAATGGTTGCTTTTTACACTTAGACATAAATAATAAAATTACAGTAGACCATCAATTATCCGACTCAATTGGGAACTCAGGTTGGTTGGATAACTGAAAAAATTGGATAACCGAAAAGAATGAAAAAAATACATTATTAGTATAGTATATTAGTATATCCCATGTAATTAGTATATCGCTATTAACCAACTTCGTGTTGAATTTTCGTCGATATTAAGCCTAACAATTTTTTTTCAAAATAATAATCATTGCTATTGTATCATTAAAAATTATTTTTAAATTATTTTATTGCTCACAAAACAAACAACCACTCATAATTAGAAAATTAAGTCTCGTTTAAATATTGGCCTCCCTTCAATGGTTGAGCCGTGTTGCCAGCTAAAACATGCAAAAATTTAACAAAAATAATATTAAAATAGCGAAGACATAGCTATATATTGTAGTGCCACATCACTAGTGGACATTTGAAATTTGCTGACTAGAATGGTCGGTTAACCGATGTGATGGTTAATTGGGGGTCGGATAATCGATGCTCTACTGTAGTACCATGATAAATGTTTCATTTCAAATAGAATAGATTTTCTTCTAGCAAGCAATGATGGGTTTAACCTCCAATTGCAGAATGATTCAAACATCTATTTTAGTGAACTATTCTACTGTACTCAGAAAATACGGGTTAAGGATGCACACTCCTTTAAATGGATGCAGTCTCATGCAAACAGATGATAGTTTGCATATCAGGAAACGCATACAATGATGCCAAACTTGGATCCCTTTTTATTCTTTTTTTTATCTGTACCAAAAGAGTTGGTGCCTTGGCTACCTTTTGGCTACATGCATGCTGCTGTTAATGTAACTCATATGTCATACATCATACTCTGCACAATAGTGTCAGGACCAGTCAGGATGTTACTTGATGAAAGCAACACTGACAGTAATGATCAGCTGTCTAAGCCTTCTTTCAAGGATGCAATTGACACAATAGATACTATACGCCTCTATCCACAATTTGAGAGTGATGCAGATGAACTGAGGGGAAAAAAAACTTCTATTACATAATAATAATAAAAATAAAGACACTGAATTCAGCGTTACATGCATACGTTTTTTGTTGCAAGCACTTTCAATGAACTTATAGTCGTCGTCCTCAGGCGAATACAAATATTTTCCGAAAAAATTAAACAGAAATAATCTGATGTAGAATAGAACGCATAAAATATAAGTTGAAACTTTGTCAAAGCTGTTTAGAACACAAAGCAAATATTCAAATATAATTCGAAAACCGAATGAGCAGTTAGCTCCGTGAAGTGTGAGCTAGCGCATGCGCAGAACCAGGCTCACGCTACACGCAAACTGGAGAATGTTAATACTTGCTTAAACACTTATATAGCATGACCCATATATACAGTGACCATACGTCCTTTATTTAAGAGGACAGTCCTTTATTTCACTGCTCTGTCCTTTAACTTTATTTATTTTCTAAAATAAGCATTTTGTCCTTTATTTTGTAAAGTTGATGCAAAGTTTAAAAAAAAAAATTTTTTAATAATATATTGAACAAGTTAGTTTTGTATACGCCATAATGACCAGTGTTGCATTGCTACAGAGCGCAGTAGTGCAGTGTGTCGCCAACCAAACGGCTCACTGACAGTACCAGGGGTTTCTTTCTATTGTTATTAGAAAAGTGGTTTTAGCATTAGAAAAATCAGAAAATATAACAAGCCAAAAAAATGCAATGATGCTGTGTACACATTTTATCAAACGTGCATAGATTATCTAAATAATTGGGACATGTTTTTTTTTTGAAATAGAGGTGTTTGAATGGATCACATTATGCGAAATCCCTTTGTGGGCGAAAGTAGAGAAAAGCTATATCTTTATTTCGAATCATTGGTCCGTAAATATACTCGACGGTGAATTATTTGATGAAGTTTCATGTGTAAAAAAATATGTCACAAACGAAAAGATCGACGAATGGTGACAGAATAACCAGCCCTGCCATCAAAGGTGGATTGAGATTTTTGAACATTTTACAGCAAAAGAAATTGTTTTCAAAAACATTTGTAAAATCGTAGAATTTTCTTTGTCTCCCTGGATCTAATGCCCCCGTTGAACGAATATTTTCATTGGTGAATAATATGTGGACGAATGAAAAAACTGATTTAAAAGTAAGCACATTAGAAGCATGTATTTCCATCAAATACAACTTTCAAATGAACTGTATGGAATTTTATGACTTTAAAGCGTGAAACGGCGCTATAAAAAAAATTAATTCTACTGAAAAGTATCAAAATTAATGTTATTTAAATTTTTTACAATGTGTGTATGTGTAATAATTCAGATTGTTTAAAATTTTAATGTACGCATTGTTGTATGCTACTATTTTCGTAATAAATGTTATAAACTTATGAGATATTTTTTGATTTTCTTCGATATGTCCTTTATTTTCCCCAAAAAAATATGGTCACTGTACCCATATACTGGGCAGATCGAGCATAGGGGTGTTGCAAGTGTCCAAGGTGGTAGTAAGGAGAGATTCCCATATGAAAACGATTTTTCGATCCTTGCAGCTCTTGAACATAACCACTTGGGACCATAGCGGTTGTAACCCTGCTCAAGTACCTTTTTTGTGAGCTCAGTGGTGTGCCTACTCCTCATATCATCATCTTGGTGCTCATCAAGGCGGATGGCAAGCATTCTAGTGGTGGTCCCGATATATCTTGTGTTTACTCCCGTTTCCTGATTTTCCAAAGGTACAGCATAGACCCCCGATTTCTCAAAAGTGGAAAATTTGTCTCTATCGTTACAAATAAGTTTGCCTAGGCTTGGAAGTGGGGATAATGGTAGTACAAGATTGCGCTGCTTAAAGATTCTGCAGATGCGTAAAGACAGGGGTACAAAGTATGGCAACAATGTTTGTACTTTCGAAAACTCTCTCTTGCTGCATAACGTAGTGCTTGAAAATAGTGCTCTCTTTACCATATTGAGCACATGCGTAAACTTTGCACATGAAAAGCCAGCAGCACATACCATCAAATTGATGATGTCTAACTCAACATTTACCAGCTCCTGCGTAGAGGATAGTAAGTAAGCCCTTCTGACAAGAGAGGCAATGGCAGTATTAATGTATCGAGAAGGCTGAAAGGCCTCTGTTGGTATAATGTGCGGAGCTATGCTAGATTTGTGATGGACAGAGAATTGTGATCCTTTCGAAGATTTACGTATATGCCGGTCTAAGAACGTTATTGTTGCATAAAGAAGAGGAACGTCTCATCTGTGTCTTCCTACGCTATGAGGATGTCGTCAACATAATGCAAATACAGCCTTGGGTAATGGATAGCAAGCAAGGAATTGAATGTTCTGTGCTCAATCTCTCTCATAATAAGCTCCGCTAGGATAGCAGATAAAGGGGAGCCCATAGGGACCCCTTGTTTTTGTAAATAGATTTTTTTTTTTTGGTTGAAAATGGAAGTAATTGTGCTCGTTGACAAAGGTAAGCACATCACGTATATCAAGCACCTGTTGGATGTTCTATTACACTTCTATTGAGGAAATAAAACACCTTCAACCAAAAAAAAAAATCAGATTTCTTTTAGCTTGTTTTGTTTAACCGCTCTCTCTGATATACTACTCTATATTTAAATGGAAAATTCGTTTTCCTATTCATTTTGTTTGATTTGAAAATCATTTAGAGCATTAAATTTATTTATAAAAGCAAATGACCAAATAAAGCTAAATAAATTCAAAATATAATTTAGAGATTTTGATCATCTATTAAGCTTTAACTGCCTAAATTATATAACTGTGGCCTTGATCCTGAAAATCATCTATATGAATTTTCAATAAAGCGAACTAACAACTGTTTTCCTGGTGATTCATATTAACAAGAGTTGACTGTATAGACTACAGTTAGTGATTTTAACTCTTACAATTCAAGTAAATTTTCTTTTAACAGTTATTTTAAAAAATATATAAAAGATTAATAGATTAATTACATACAGTATATTACATGTCAATGAAAATTATATATTGTAGATATATTTAATACAATTTTTTAAAAATAATTATAAAACTTCAAAGAAATATTAAATGTTTACATTATAACACTATCACTGAGTGAAACTTCGAAAGCGATTTTGATTTCCAATATTTCATATAAAATTCAGAAATACAAAATGCAAATTTCATGCATTAGAAAAAATAAAATATAAATTAACCTTAATAGCTTAAAATATGATTATTTTAGGTAACTAAAAAATAAAATAATTTCTAAAAATTATTGATACTAATATTGATTATCTTGTAATAAAAACAAAAATTTTTTTTCACACTCTTTTTATGAAGTCATACTAGAAATATTTCATTTCACCACTATTCTCAATAATTTATGTTGAAGAATTATGTATATTAGCTGGTTTATTATATATTATACATTCATTAGCATAAATAAAGTTATACACCAAGTATTGGAATTGAATGAGATGCTTATTAATGCAAATGCAATGACAATGGTAATAAGTGATCACAATATCATGACAAAGAGATTATTTCTTATAGACATTCTCTTCTTGCCTGAATATATGCAGCAATACTGTTGGGCATGGAGGCATGATGTCATTCCAGTGTGGAATCCAGTTTTTGATCAAAATTGTTCGCTTGTTTGTATCAATTTTTCTGTTATATTTTGTTGCAGCTTAGGTCTGGTCAAATGAGATTAATTTTGTCTTCTTGTAAGGCTACTGTTGGTGTGGTATCTAATCCTGACCATAAGAATAGAAAGTTAGGTAAAGCTGTAAGGAACCAAGTCTGAGCTTTATTTTTATTTTACTTTTATTTTGCTTTCATTATATTTTGTTTGGGGCTTATGTTTAGTTAAGACGAAGGTTTCCTCACCATTCACCTTAGTAACTTAAAAATAGAAAAAAAAAACCAACTCACCGACGAAAGAAAAGCGCTGTAGAAAAACTCGCGCACACTTGCGCTTCCCAAGCGGAAAAAAGTAAGTCCGCACCGAGAAAAAGGGGGGGGAAGACCCCACAACCCAGTTAGGAATCGCTAAACCTTAAAAGAATAAAGCATCCCGATAATTGTTAAAAAGAATAATGTAAAAGGTTAGCGAAGTATTGTCGGAAAATAATCTGCCAGATAAACAAGAAAAATTTAATGTTACAGATAAGTATGTAAATGAGGAGAGTGAGCTCATTCAGAATTGTGACGTCACCTCACACTATAAAGCCTCTAACTCAAGTGAAAACGAACGAGGTGAATTCCTGATAGCAACGAGCTTTGGTGAGCTTCGTAGCAGTGAACGAGAGAGGTGTCCGATAGGATTTTGAAGTTATTCGATTTGTGGATCGACGATTATAGAAAGTCTTGAGAGTTTGAGGAAATAGGTTCCTAGTATATTGAGGTGACGATTAGGATCTTTAATTTATAAGAATTATTGTTTATAAGTTAATTCTTTGATTTTGTCGAATTCCAAAGGGGAATAGAATTAAGTTAGAAATAGATTGATTTGAGTTTGTCGGATTGATTCTTGTTGAATTTCATTGAATAAATTATTGTTTGATTTTTACTAAATACTGTATATAGTTTATTACTAGAAGTTTAATTAAATATTTGATTTTGTTATTGACAAACTTTGTCATTATTTAATTCGGTGCACGCTTAAAGTCCAGGCCTGGCACACTAACGCGAATCCGCGTAAAGTACCCGTTAGGGAACGGCTATTTCCGGCACGCAGTAGTGTCGATAATCGTTGGAAAGTCGGAAAAATAATATAGTACTGAAGTAGTAGAAGAAGTAGGTGGTATGGGTACTGTGTTCTATCCTGAGACAATTTACTCACATTAAAGCCAAATGACTGCTGAATTATATCAGGTTATATTACTACTAGTATTATTAATTAAATGCTAAGTAATTTGGCACTAGAGGCACCATCTCTTACTAAATTTAGAAGGTTCTGGAAAAAAAGAATTGGCATTAAGCAGGACTCAAATCTGCAAGTGTGGTCATATTGCCAGTTACACTATCCAGACCTTTGTCCAATCCTTGCTTCCAGAACCTTCTAAATTAATTATTAAAATAACAATTTAATTATAATTGTTAAATTTAGCAAGAGATGGCACCTAATGCCTTCCTCTTGTGTCAAATTACTTAGCATTTAATAATAGTAATATAGCCCAATGTAATTCAACAATCATTTGGTTTTAATATATAACTATCAGATCTGGATGTGATTTACAAATAGATGTTGCAACTGCACTCCAGATCCCAACACTTATAGATAGCCAAAGCAGGCATCTCATCTGGTTCTACAAATGCTCAATGGATGGCAAATCTGGAAATTGAATAGGCAAAGAAAGTATGGCAACATGACAGACATTCCTAGAAAACTAGCTGTTTAATCAAGCATTATCTTGCAGGAAAATGGCTATTTGCAGCTATGTAACGAAAGTCAACATGAGGATTCAGAATTTCCTAAACGTACTGTGATGTCAATGTCTCTCTCACTACTGCTGTCTATATATATGATAGTTAGACAGACAGTCACACTTCTAGGTAGTGGTGGCTTGAGGGAAAGGAAAAAGTGAACAACATACAAAATGGCTCCCTAAATCAGTATGCCAGTCTGTAGCAGTCTATCCATACTTTCCTGTCAATGTACCATTGTAAAAATAGCCAACAATGTTAGTGTACTAATAGCAGGACACATAGCAGCTGTCATGCATGAAAGTTTATCCCTGCTAATTTGTCTACCAATAGAAGAGGAGGAGATTTGTTCTGTAGCAAGACGTCCACCCGTCTCTGGAAGATACCATTGCAGTTGTTTGTGCTTGTCTCTTAATCAGATTATCATCTCTCCCAGGGTCTATATGGGATGTCCAGAGCCTGCCAGCCATGTGTGTGCACCTCACATATCCACTTTCTTGATATCTCCTCAAAGTCAGGTCAGAATGGCTCAGAAGGCAGACAATTCAGCAAAATTGTTTCACTCAACCTCCAAATGAATACACTGAAAATTCTGAACACAGTGAGACTCTGCAAACCTATTTTACGAATAATAGAGTAGCAATTTTAAGGCACTCTGATGACATTACCTAGTTGTAATTGGATCACACAACCATAATCATTTACACTCTGTCTGAGAGAGAGGTGTATGCTGAGTTTTACAAGAAACAGCACAATTCTATCTGGGTGTATACCTTTTTATTAATGAGCATATTATCTGTATTATATTATTACATTAAATATTCTTAGTATATGTTAAATGTTTATTAACATATACCCAGTTGAGTAGTTGAATGTAAACTACTATTATTAGAAATGGATAATAACAATGTCTATAACATTAGACATTCTATTACATACCTAGAATCTAGTGTAAAAATATGCAAATAACAGTTCTAACCTAATGATGATGACTTAAGTCCACTAAAAATGTTTGTTCCATAGGAAAAATATCCATTTTATGCTGAATTTTGTATAGATGTTAATTCTTACCATTATATATATTATTCTACATTTCAATAGAGAATTCATATAAATTTTAAATAAACTAAAGTTAAAAAATTTTTATCAAGGAGAATTTAAAGAAAAACATTATATTTTAATTAATCTTACCACTTTCAACTTTTTAAAGCAATAAACCAATGTAAGATCTGCCTCAATTGATGAAATATCATTTAGAATTGCATAATTTATAATGAAATAGTCTTTAATTAAATATTTTTTCCTCTCTGATTCTATTATTAAATTTAACACAACAAAACAAAATCCATAGCACTTTAATAATACCATTATTTTGATTAAAAAAAATCATCATTTAGCTGATTATTAAACTCAGTAAATAATATTATCAATGCATTAGTAAAATAATCAGAAGTGCATGTCTAAAAATTATTTAAATCATCATCTCAGATCTTTTTTTCATAAAATAAAAAAAAAGTATTATAAAATATCTAAAACTTTAAAATGAATATAGATTTTTATTAAAATATTAAAAATACTATTTGTTTCAAAATGATTAAAAATTAAGTGAATGGCATTTTAAGTTAATTTAAGTTAAAGTATTTTTTTTTTTAATTTACCTTTTGGGCTAGCCCAGGCACGCAGGTCAATTTCCCTGGCAAAAGTGGCATTAACAGCCTCATCACAAAATAATGGAAGGTGGATAGAAATTACGGAAGACTTATCGAGCTCAATGCTCAAATCCATATCAAAAATTTCTTTTCCTTTATCATCCTCAGGCTGGCGAACAGCACCAGGATTTCTCTAATATAAAATCATCATAAAATAAACTTAAATGAACTATTAATTTATTGTAAGTTTTACAATTATAATATAAAAACAGTTTACAGTTTATTATTTAATATTTTCCATAAAATACTAATTGGTATTGTTACAGTATGAGAAAAATATAATACCTACAGTAGACTCCACATTAGAAGTTTTTCATTTTTCATTTTTTACAAAAATTTTATTTACCCAAAAATGACAAAAAAGTTTTGATAGGGGAAAAAAATACAAATCAAAGAAAACTGATAAGCTATCTCAACTAAAATAAGCATATTTTTACATCTATACAATCATTTTTTATTTTTGTTTAATTTTATAATTTTTAAAAATACAAATAAAGACTGATAAACTTCTGGAAATACTGTCAGCCTTTATTTTTATTTAAAAAAATGAAAAATTAAACAAAAATAATTTTTTTTTAAATTCTAATGTGGAGACATCCTATATTAATACCATAATAATTAATAATTATTGTAAGAAACTTTCTTTACAAAAGAGAAGAAATTTTATTAAAGTTAAATACTACAGCTACAGATAAAATTTACAATCATTAAATATAATTCTATGAAATATTAAATATGGTCTTTGTAAAATTTAGCTAAAGAGGAGAATAATTCTCCTCGTTATTTCTTCATCCACAATATTTTAAAATCATAATCCAGATCAATAAAGTTATTTATATAAGATAACATTTTCAATTTCACAATGAAACATTAATTTTTCATAATATGACAATACCTTGATATTTTTAGTATTTCAAGATTTTCAAATACAAAATATGTAATCTTTAATATTCAATCTTATTTCCAAATTTATTTAATTAATAACTATTAATTAAATTGACCTCTGCTGTTAGTCATATTATAGTGTGTGAGGAACCCTTAGATGATGATGGTTTCTCACCACCAGGAACTTTAATAATGATAATCACATGCTTTCATTATAAGTTTGAAACCTATGGCACTGTGTTTGATGTGCATAAGCAAAGATCTGTGAGACATCACATAGCAACAAGTCCTGCTTCCTTGGTTATGGTATTGAATCCTCAACACTATAGTCTGTCTAACAATGTGCATGTGAGACAGGAATTAGCAAATCAAGCATACAATGCATTCATATGAGACCCCAGACTCATATCTGGTCAACTGCTCATCCTTGGAGGCTAAATCTGCCATCTTAAGGGTTATTGGTTCATTATCATTAAACTAAAATGGTACAGCAAATCATCACAATAATTTTCAGAAAAAGCTGTGTAACCTGCATATGAAGCTACTTAAAAAAATTTTTTAAAAATACAGGAAATAGTAGGAAACAACCCAGTTTTTTTTTTCACTTTAGATGAAACAACAGATGTACTAAGAAGACACAAGCTGAACATTCTTATCAGTTTATTGACAAAGGAGCCAGTACAACCCATGCTGTTAAGAGTATATGAATTAAAAGAGGAATTCCACAACTGTTATGCAGGTCTTCAAAGATATATGTGCCAAATTGTGAAACTCTACCATTCCATATAAAAAAGTTTGGTTACTTGTGACAGGCCAGCAAGATACATGCTAAGTAAATGTTCAAATATAAAGTTGATGTATCCAAATCTGAAACATGTCACTTGTCTTGTCATTTGCCTTAATAGAGTATGTAAAGCAATAAGGGCAGAATTTTCTTGGACCAACAATTTTATATTGGAAACTAAAAAAACTTTGATTAAATGTCCAGAGAATGTACATCTATATAGAGAGATAGATAACTTACCACTCCCAAAACACTGTAATAACTAGATGGGGAACATGGATTCAAGTGGTTTGTTTTTATGCTGAAAACTTCTTATCCACAAGAGCATTCATTGATTAACTGAATAAAAAATCATTAGTAAATGGAATGAAATCTGTTGAAACAAGAAGCCATGTTTAAAGAATGCCATACTGTTCATATATGTTCCCATGCAGTTCAATTTCTAAATTTGAGAAAAGAAATTTGTCCTCTGAGAAGCAGTGGGAGATTTTTAAACATGCGAAAAATCAGTTGGATGAATTTAGAAATCATCTTACTCAATTACTGGAGCTAATGACAAACATTAACAAACATTTTATAATCCAGTAACAAAAAGAAAAATGTTTAATAAAAACATCAAACAAACACTTCCAATCTTAACCAAGGTCTGCTTCAGGTTTTGTAAACAAATGAAATTCCAAAATGAGAACATGCAGAACTGAACGTTTTTGAAATATTATTTTAAACATTTGGAACACATAACATGTACAAAAAGGAAAAGGTGGAAAATAAACTAATTCAAAATATACATATACCCAACACATGTGCATAAATTATTTTAGGATATAGCCTAAAGGCAAATAATAAAAGTCAATTTGTGTCAGTGCTGCAATGTTTTCATATAAGTACCGCCAGGCATACTATACAGTATTACTGTCCTTAATTAAAGTTGATGCACTTGCCCATCAGGATGGTCTTGTATATCTTAAAGGCTTCTAGGGCCCTAATATGATCAGTTTGCAAGGATTGCCTTAATATTCTGGTGTTAGGGAGGTACAAAGTTAAGGTTGAAAGAGTTAGTTTGATGTTTTTATTAAACATTTTTCTTTTTGTTACTGGATTATAAAGATTTGTTAATGTTTGGATGGATTTGGTTTAGAGAAACTGGAATACTCTCTGAACAAAAATCTGGATATTCAAAATAAAATTTTTAGTCCTTTCAAGTCATAAAACATGGAGATTTTAGTGAAAAACAAATATACTCCTCTCATGCTCTCTGTGACTGACCATGGAGAATGTAGAACAAATGTGTGTTTGCAAGTACAATGATTTCCTGTTTGTAAACTATAAAACTGATGAATCAGATTCCAAAAGTGACTAACTGATTCAAGTTTTCTATCATCATTTTCTTGAGTTTTATATGTTCTATATATACAGTTGACCCCCCCTATAACACGGGTTCATATAGTTCGAATTCCTATATCACGGCGAAAAAATTGCGACTGTATTCGTACAAACATGCTAAAAAAACTCGTATAATTCGGTAAAACATCATCACCAACTCGTGTCACAACAGGATTGGTCGAATCTAGATCAATAGCAGATATTGCACAAACAGTTGAGTTTAAACGAGCAGTGGACCTACTAAAAACCATTTATTATTTAACAGCCATAAAAATTTTAATGATGTCTCCAAAGTTCAGCGAATTTTTTGCAAAAAAAAAATTTATCAGGAAGCACGCAAGCGCCATTCGATGACAAGCTCCATGATGAAAACAAGCTTAAGCAATGGCGTCATCGAACAGTGCACACTCAGTGAGTAATCCTACAATTTTTTGTTTATAGCATAGTTTATATGGATTATTCCCAAAAAATTATACGTATTTTGGAAATGTTGAGTCAAATTAGTCTAGAATCGATTAATTTTATGGAAGAAAACCTTACAAACAGCCATAGTCCGTAAACTGCATACGTGCCGGGCTGTGATTGGCTCATGTATTCAAGGACTCTTAGAACATCAGTTTCATAAAGAACGGAATATATCTACTGTGTTATAGGAGGGTCGACTGTACTTTTATATAAATAAATAATGGTTTTTACATTTATATGTTTTTAGGAACATTTTTTTTTTTTATCACTTTCTTCACAAAAGTCAATTAATTTTTTAACCTTTTTTTTCGAAGAAAATTTGCACCTCAACTTCCCAAGTATAATCACGACTTTATTTTATAGTAGGTTTCAAAAAGAAACAAAATATTAATTTTTCAAATATCTACAAATTTTTCCCATTTCCTCCAATTCAAATTTATATTTTTGTATGACTGACATTACATTCAACTATGATCTCTCTAAGCAAATATCCTCTTTCTTTATGGCTTTGCTATTGATTCTGTACTTTAAATCTTCAATTATATTCATTGATAAATTCATATAATAATCACGTGACATATGCCTTATTTACCAACATATAGCATCTTTTTGATTTATATCTTCCATGTCAATCTCATGAAGCATCCTCTCCTATCAAGTAATCAATTAATAGATAACATGTAATCAAGACTGAAGCAAAATTCATGTCTTGGAGACCTTATTTTATACAAATTAAACATTGTTGCTATTCTAAAATAAATTATAAGTCTTTGTACTGCTTTAGTCATTATTTCTTCATCTTCAATAGTTTTGCTCAAATCTTTTAATCGTTTGACTAGACTTTGCATTCACTTCATATATTCTTAGCAAATTTGCTTCTTTTCAATTTCGTAGTTACATGGGAGGGACCCAAAAATAACCGGACTTTTTATATAAAAACTTTATTAACATTTTTACAAAATTCCTTCAGTCACCTTCAAAGTACTCTCCATTAGATGCGATGCACTTGTCAAGTCTTTTTCCCCACTGTTTGAAGCATCTCTGGAACTCTTCAACCTTGATATCGTCCAGTAATCTTAGGGAAGCTGTTTTAATCGCTTCCACATCATCAAAATGCTTCCCTTTTAGATTTTTCTTCATTCTTGGAAACTGAAAAAAGTCGCATGGGGCTAGATCTAGTGAATAGGAGGTTGGGGAACAACAGGCCAAATAGTGAGTCATTCGTAATGCCGTGTGTGTGGGGGCATTGTCATGATGAAGGAACCAGTCACCTGATCGCCAAAGTTCTGGGTGTTTCCTTCGCACATCCTCTCGCAGATGTCTTAACACTTTGTTGGCGGATTTTTTCAACGTTTTCATTGTTTCAAGATGTTGAAGGACGCACAGAACTTTGCAGATGGAACAAAATAACAGTAAGAGAAACACAACACTACGCTCAAATGCAAACCTACAAACTGACACTGTTTGCACAGCTGTTTTGTGAAAGTCTCCACTAACCCTATGTAATGGGAGAACTCTCTACTACGTCTACGAATGGAAGCGCTCTCAGTTCGGTTTTTTTTGGGTCCCCCCTCGTATTTTGTAGTTCTTTTCCATTTCATAATCTCTTAACATTC